ATGACAATAATGAAATAAATAAGAAAAAAATAAACACCAAGATTTACGTGGCAATCCAATCCGAGAAAAAATCACGGGTAGAGGAGGAGAAATCCACTATAATCAATAACAATTATATTGGGTTTACAAGATCTCAATTCACTCAATTGAAATCTAAAACTCTCAAGATGTTGGATGAATCTTGTTTTTTCTATACAAGTCGTGTCATATATATATATATACACCCTAGAGAAGTAAAAGAATATGAGTCCAAAATCGCGTCAAAAAAATGAAAACGGACTTGAACCGGATAAGTTCGTCGCTCGAGCAATGGGCGAGCGACATCCCCATTCACTCAAGCGATAGGGTAGCGCTAGGCAAGCGACCAGTCTCGGGTTGTTTTCTACCGGGCTCGCTCGGGCGTCTGCAAGTGCCAGGTTAGCGAAAATGCGACGACTTTTTTTTCTGGTCCATAATTTTGATCTTTTCAAGGCAATTCCAATTTAGACTCCAATACTTACTAGAATTTGGATCAAACCACAACAAATCTCCATCTTGAACCAAATTCCAACACAAGAAATTTTAAATCGCAACTCCATTAACAAACACCACTCCTCCTCTTCCAAACAAGCCCCAATGGACTAATCAATGGCAAACACCAACTGAATTCAATCAATGTTCAAACTTATCAATGAGAAGTGGTTTTGTTATCATATCAATATGATTATCCTTGGTATCAACTTTACTCACTACAATATCAATACGAGCAATCACATCACGCACAAAATGATACCTCATATCAATGTGCTTAGTTCTCTCGTGAAACATCTGATCCTTAGTGAAGAAAATTGCACTCTGACTATCACAGAATACTGTAAACATCTACAAGTCTTTACTGATTTCACCAATCAATTCTCTCGGCCACATACGGGAAAAACCATGGGCAGATGAGGATAAATCCACTATAATCAGTAGCAATTGTTTTTACAAGATCTCATTGCACTCAATTGAAATCTAAAACTCTCAAAATGTTGTATGAATCTTTTTCTCTATACATACATACATACATACACACATATGTGTGTATATATATATATATATATATATATATATATACACAAGCAACAGGCGGGCGATAAGCGAGCAATAGGGCAGCGTCAAGCGAGTGACCAAGTCTCGGGTTGTTTTCTACAGGGCTCGCTCGAGCTTCCAGTAAGCGCCAGGCTAGCGATATTTTCCTCCAGTCCATAATTTTGATCTCTTCAAAACCACTCTAATTTAAACTACAATACCCACTAGAATATGAATCAAACCACAACAAAAACAATGAATTATATCTCTTTTTATTGTTTATACATCATATAAATACAACGGAGGGTTTCATTACTTGACAATATATTTCCTTTCATAGAGGTTTCATTAACAATAAATTAAGGACGCCACATGTGACAAACCTTCTTGAACACGAATTTCAATTATAGTACTGTGATCATAAGAAGGCAAAGTTTAAGAAGACCAGATTGAATCAAGCTTCCTGAGAAGCCAGGACACAATATTTAAGAATAGTTTCAAATATTAGTTTTTTATCTCTGGTAGGAAAGACTTCCAATAGGACTCCATTTTTGTAAAAATGGAAAGGAGCACAGTCTGCAACAAATCAGTTTATTGAAAGAAGAAGAGGATGCAATGAAGATAGGCATATGGCATAGATGTACTGTAGGTGTGGAAATATTGTGGTAATCATAAGAAAGATTTTCGAATGAAGTTTTTCAAACTGGAAACTTTTTCTACTTTCTTTTTTTATCAATATCCTCAGCTGATAGCTATTATCTCAATCAGTTTTATGAACTGAAAGATCTTCCAAAACATAAAATTCAAGTAAAAGGCACTAAGAGATGTTACCCTGATTCACAGCCGATCAGCAACATCAATTTGTTCGTCATATTCATTAAGTACCTGCAGTGATAGAAAAAAATGAAAGTTCATATATTTACGTATTTACGTATTTTCAGCTTCCACAAGAAGTTCGACAGAAGTCCACAACAATTAATGAATTTGACTCTTTGGCTTTTTCCAGTTTCCAGAATACTAAGAAATTCCTCGTCTGTCTTCTACTCTCTTACACAGTCAACTGGACAGAGCTCATTATCATCAGATAATTCTTCGACGTTTTCATTAGGCATACTTTTGATTCCAAATAATCTGGACACAGAACCTTTATTTATTACGACTATGACGCGATTACAAATTTTCCACTGAATTCTTGCTTTCAAGTGGCACGAGTCAATAATTTTCCACTGTACGAATATTACTTTTGCCAACTGCCTAATAATAAAACAAACATTTTACCCTGCTGACACCTAGGAGCACTTCCATAATTACTCGGAGATTCACCCAATTCATATAATAATTTGAAGGAATGACGAAAAGGAGTACACTTCCTAGCTATTTCTTACTATGTCTCCCCATACTGAAGGAAGAAAAAGCAAGAATGTATATAGTCTACAGAGACACTCCCCTAACTAAAATTTTATATCTTTGTTAAGAGTGACCAGTAGAAACTCAATTTAGTAGACCATCTGGAATTGAAGAACTGGTGGAAAATGTTGGAACTTTATGAAACTTTAAATTTTATAAAACTAGAAAACATAATAACTTTATTGTCAAGATTTCCATGTCACATCACCAAGAAAATTAATAGTGCAAAACATACCTTAATTCTTTTGGGAACGATTATTTAATATCGGATTTTGATTCCAGATCTTGAATCTTGATTATTGGCTCTTGAGTTCTTGATCTTGATTTTGGCTTCTTGCTCCATAATCTTGATTGTCTTATTCTTCAATTTAATTGCTTTAATCCTTCTTCTTGATTGTAATTCTCGATTTTAATTGTGGGGTTTTTATCTTCCTTTTCAATATGTTTTCTCTTATATTCTTGTATTAATGGGTGACACAAAGAATGAGAAGTTTTATATTAATTGGGGACCATAACCTATTTATAGTTTTCATATGTATTTTGATCATCGTCAAATACAACCCTAATGATCCGGTCTTTACACATATAATCTGGCACACACTATATTTAAATGCTCTAATCCTAACAATTTAATTTTTTATTACATTACTTTAATTGGGCTCAACTTTAAGATATTCTTATACTCAATTAATTACTTATTTAGGCCAACATGAAAAATTAATAAACCCAACAATCAACACTTGAATCACGTATGTTACCTTATACATGTGTATAATCTTATGACGTCAATATTATTGCTATCATAACCAAAAGTATCTCCGAACAATCTCGTCTATTGATTGTATCAATGGTCATGTACATCAACACAACCAAATGACAAAGATCAAGTGTAGATGTGTAGCATGGAAATTACATGTGATATGATCCAAACATGCCTATTTCCAACAGATCGTACATTATTTTTTAATGAGATCAACCATAAACTTTAATCAGAATGAAACTGAATACTTTATTTCTGAAATAAATTGTGATAGCCCAAGAATAACTAACCAAGAGGAAGTGAATTGGTTTTTAAAACTTTTTCGAAGAATTAATCTAAATTTAAATAAGTAAAGACTAAACAGATTAATTCAAATAGTAAACACAAATATAAAAGCGATAAGTAAAAGGGAGAGATGATGCAAACGATATATTTGTAAAGGTTCGATCCAAAGCAATGATATACGTCCCACGTTACCAAGCTCTCCGGCATGAGCAAGACCTTTTCACTATATTGACTGACTTATGGTGTAATCCAACCCTTTACAACGCTTCCGGTGACTTACAAACAAGGAGCACCGATCCTTACACAATGTTGAACTTTACGGGACCTTAACACAACCCACACTATTGAGCTTTACGGGACCTCAATATGACCCACACGGTGACTTACAATAAGGAGTGCCGATCCTTATACAATGTTGATCTTTAAGAGATTTCAACACGACTCACACTTTATCAAAGTGATTTTACAATGAAATTCCTCTATTGATAAATAATACAAACAAATTAAGTACTAAGAGAGGCTAACATTTCAATGAATAGTAATAAATGATAGCTCAAGTGTTAGATGAAAAACTTTGATGAATATAATAGTAAA